AGAGAGCATCTGTTTTACATTTCATTATTCTCTGGGAATAGGGGGTAAAGTACAAATGATGGTTCCCAGAGGAAAGGGGATGCTATTTTTAGAATACAAGTAGAAAGGAGAATCTGGAAAGAAAGGAAAATATGTATGTTTATTATATTGGATCTTTATTTTCTCAATTTGAAACTAAATCTAGGAATAACAGATAATTTCATTTACATGTTCATTAGCACCAAGTCATACTTAAAATTATTTGAGCAGAAATCATAATAATGAAATTTGGGGATTAACTAATAATTTCAGCATATTTAAAGACATCCTTTGCAATAGACAACTTTGATGAACTGAATGTTTTTAGACAGGTTCAGCAGAATTTGATAGAATTTTATTGAGATAAGTTCTTTTTTATTTCCACATTTTTTTTATTGGTGCATTATTATAGTTGTACATAATGGTGGGATTTGTTGTTATATATTCATGTATGCACACAATATAATTTGGCCAATATCACTCCCCAGCACTTCCTTGGAATAAATCCTGGTTGTCACATTTCTTTAATTATGGAGCTCTGTCGAAGTCCCAGAACACCCTGTAGGAAACCCATCTGCTGGGCTATGGTTGTGACTCAGCAGTAGAGCACTTGCCTAATGAATCCTCAGAACCACATAAAAATAAATAAACAAAATAAATAAACAAAATATGGGTAATTTTGATTAGTACTTACAACCACATAAAAATAAATAAACAAAATATTGTGTCCGTCTACAATTAAAAAAAAAAAAAGAAACACACCTGCTTTTCTTGACTCAGGTCTGGAAATTCCATTTGGTGCAAGGTAATTGGTTGGTTCATTGTGAACAGGGATATTCTGGATATGTGGTGGTGACTTCTGGTACCAAGGCTTAGAAGTATGAAAGGAAAGCAGAAAAAGAAGAGGAGGACAAAAGATAATATAGAGAAATATGAGGAAAGCAAATAACATAGATACATTGGGTGATAGGGAATAATGAAGAAAATTAGACCACTCATTTTCCAGTGAGTAGGGAACAGAGACATAGAGGACCAGTGATAGAGACTACTAAAAGAGGAAAAGTGCTAGGCTAGAGGTTGACAGGACCCTCAATGGGACAATCCTTGCAATTGTGCCCTTGATGTTTGATGCATCTCTGCTGCCTGTTTGGGTGCAAGAATGATCTAGCCACTCATTCTGTATCTCAATATTTATGAAAGGAACCTGTGTACCATTTTATAAGAGTTAATATTGGTATGAGTTATCAGTTTTGAACATTAGTCATTGCATAGGACTAATTCTCCTGGTGTTCTAATCATTTCGGTTGTTTCAAATATAAAATTAATTTTATATCTTAGGATATCATTTTTGAATATGGGTAATTTTGATTAGTACTTGTAAGTTTATTGTGATACAGACATTTTTCAATGGCTACTAAGTATAAAACACTTAGGTTAGGTACTATGAGGGTGATGAATCAGACACAAATTCTGTCCTCAAGATGCTTTTACTTTAGTAGAGAGGATATAACAATTATTTGTCTTGGATAATGAATACATCTTCAGAAGAAATCACTTTAAAAGCCGTCAATCTGTCAGATAAATGTTTTGTCAATTTTTAGTATATCCAGAATTGAAAATCTGTTTAGTTTAGCACTCTATTTTTTGGAGAATTGACCTGGAAATTTTAATGAGGAACAGAATAGAACCAGAAAAATAATACCTTAGCCCTTTTATTCTTGGCCACTCTATTGACTTTTTGCTATGGCCATAAACAACTCCGAGATTTTTTTTGGCTTACATAAAAGATCTTTATTTGTTGCTCATGACTCTCTGGGCTGGCTGCAGTCACTGTGGTTTGGTTTAGTCTATTGTACACAGCAGTACCTGCTGGAGTGTGCTCTTCTCATGTTTGAAAGCAGGACAGAAGATAAGAAAAAAAAATACACAGAGCCTCTTAAATTCTTAGTTAGGAACTTTGATTCTTATTTCCATATTTTAGTGTTCAAAGCAAATCATAGAACCAAGCCAGATTCAGTGAGTGTAAGGATAGTTTCTACCCTCAGGGAAGCCATAGCAGAGGTGGGAGGGATGGAAGTATTGTGAATAAATAAGTGTATCTACCATAGCTACTCTGTGACTCCAAGGACATATGGTTGATTTCAGAGCGCATCTAAAAAGTTGTATTTACCTTTGAGTGTGCAAGAATGATCCTTGTTTTTATAGTCTAAGATTAACAAAATTGGAATGAACTGATATTGTGAGTCATTAAAGTTGGGAATGGATTTCTGTTTTAGTAGATATTTTTAGGTTTGAGATAGCCCAGGATCAGTATTTTAGAGTAGCTTTTCTC